TATTGCTCGACAACGTTTGATAGTCAAATGATCAATTATAGAGTGTATTTGATAGAATGAGAATTCGACTTTAATTGTCGAGTGAAATAAATGAGAAATTAGCAAAAGAGAACACTTTTGGTGATGAAAGCTATGAGAGCGATTTCAACAGCAAGGAAAAGAATGGAAACCCTGTTAAAACAAATGAAAATCCTGTTAGGCTCGGACGAGCTGATAATTCACGGTTGAAATGCTCAGTATATTGACAGCATTGACACACAACTTAATAATTGTGTAAGTACCTTGCAGCTGCTGCGTAGCTATTTGACACAAATCTTATCTGATAATGAGTGGCTAGTCAATGAACGCGTTTTATGGCAACAAATTAATCCTGAACGATTTGAAGTAATATACGGAATGTCATTGAGAGATTGAAACTGATTCGCTTATTTACACAAACGCAGCGCAGATTATTCTGTGTTCAGAGCATAATTCGACCAAATTATCTCTCGATTCATCTTTCTTTATCTCGTCTCATATACGTCGCATCTCAATCAAACCAACGTTCCTGTCCGATTCATTTGCTCAGCTGCATCGTTCACGCTTATTCACATCGTAGTTTGAAAGATGGATGAATTCGATTTTTTTCTTTCTAATTTTGCTGTTGATGAGTTGAGCATGCTTGTGTACAAACAGCTGAGAGTTCCTATGTAAGCTTCCGGTTGGTATTAGCTGTATTTATCATTTTTATCACATGGGTGATAAAAAATATTGTGACTGTTGATGCTGTTTCCGTCATGATCACTGTCTATACTGTCTCCAAGAACAATATTAACAAAATATTGCTCAATCTATTATGTAGTTATGTACTTTTAAGAGAATCGATCTAGTTATGCACTATCAACAATAAGAGAATTTTTTGTGTTATTATTTGTTCTGAACAGAAAAGAGTGCACGAGAACATTCGTAATAGTTGAAATGAGCAGTTCGTTTGTCATTGATTCTTTTTTTTCGTCTCTTGGGCTCCATATCATTCAACAATCCTAAACCAAACGTGAGATAATGGCGTCAATAACATTTTAAAAACAATGTTTCTTTGGATAATAACAAGACCTCTCTTGATGGCAACGGCAACAATTGTTACAATTACATTGAAAGCAATTGAAATAACAATAGAGCTACACAAGAGGTTTCCCGTCGAATTTCTGAATTGTTTGCGTCAGAATGCATTTTTCTATTGATTTTCAAGTACAAAATGGCATTATTTAGGAAGATTTATTTATTGTTTTCTTTTTTTTTCGCATTTCATCGTCTTTGTTATTCCATAAAATAGATAGATGGGAATGTATTCGTGGAAATAATCAGATATATCGTTTAGTTGCTATTTTTCATAATCCAAATGCCCACTGGAATAGATGCAGACTTTAGATGAGTAAGATTTCATTCGCGGAAATTTCACGATTTTCGATATGGCCTTCTTGAGACGTATAAGTTCGAAACTCTTCCATCAACTGTCTGATCGTTCAAACTTTAATTTGCTTTCTCATTTTCCTTTCAGTTTTTTTCTCGACTCAAGCGATTGGTTTTGTTCGTTGTTCATTACTGCGGAAATGCTCATTTCTCATTCTCCAAAATTGTTCCACTCATCAGCGATCATATTACATCAGGTCGATTTATTTCACCTCTTCGCTTTTTCCGATCCATCCAATTTCATTCGCTATTTTTTTCCATTCTTCCGTCGGCTATAATCAAATGCGGACGATTCTCATTCTCGACCAGCCAACTAGTCGATTTGAATAACCGAAAATTAGATCACAGAAGGAGTGAGAGAAGCATTTCTTTGAATTTATTGTTTGCGGGCTTGAAGCACTCTTTCGAAGCGATTTTGCTGTCACGCATTGCACGAAGGTTTGGTTGGCTTGAAAATGCTATCGAAAGTTTTCATTCCCAGAAATGCTGAGCTCAATGGCCAGAAAGTAGGGTGGTTTTTGTTTTCTTCGTGTGAGGGGAGGACGACAGGGTGGGCGTAAAGGCAAATAACGAAACGTCATGCAATCCAATCGTTATATTTCGCTTCTTTGTAAACATCTCATGATCGATTAAAATGTGTCGTAATAATAACAATAATCACAATAAATATAACACTGATGACGGTAGGAACAGGATGCTTTTAATAACGTCAAGTGAATAAGGAGCGTTTAGATCGGTCAGAAAATGCGCCTGAATGCAATAGCGCCTGCTTGAGTGAGTACCGGAAGAGCGCACTTAAATGTAGACGTTAATTGCACTATAATTCAGCAGCACTCTGACGAACCGACAACTAATGAATGACAGAGTTAATATTGTCGATGTTAATGCTCATTATTTCGTTGGGGTTGTTCATCGTTGTTGTCATAGATGAAGTGTTCATTGTATTGTCAATTATTTTAGAAATTAGCGGAATCATATCAAAGAACATCAACATTTCAATGGACTTCGTAACACAATGGGTTTTTCACGTTGTTCGTTGCTGCTGCTAGCCAATGCTCTTATTGCTCTTCTCTTCGGATTGCATAAGTGAAAATTGTAAATATTCGATCAATGCTATAGTTATGCATGTTCCATTCTTTATTATTTTAAAACTTTATTTGATAGCAAAAACGCGAGTTTGTTATGATAACATTTAGATGAATGTTCACTCGACAATACAATATTTAATATCGTCCAGAGATGACTGCAAATTTGTAGAAATGTATTCACGTACACTAGTACACAACGTAGAATTTGATAATAATCACAATTTTTCGGTCTTACGAGTAGCCATTAACTGCGTTTAATCGCATGCGTTTTAAGAATACTATATGATAGTGAAGCACTATGTGATAAATAGCTTCATAATAATCACGTACTTGTTTCCATTTTGGCAGATGGGTGTTTGCAATTAATTCTTTCTCTGTTCATATCGCTTAACACTTATTACACTGTCCATAAATATCCAATGTGTGCAACAACATTGCAAAGCGATTATTATGTTGCCAATAGGACTGATTGCATTGCGCACATTCATATGGCTTTGATAAATCCGATCTCGTCGGTGCATTACACCAGATCGAGTCGATTGCCTGTCAATTTATTCTAAGCTTGGCGCATATTTCAGCCTTCAATGGTTTGCTTACATTTGGACACTGAACTTCATCATTTTCGCGCTGAGCTTATATTTCATTAACGGCGTTGATGTGTTTAGGTGTTTTAAACGCATTCTTCGGTTCAACGAATTTGAAGCATGCTAAGTCTGCTTCTAGAATCACATGAACAGTGTTTCGAGTTATTAACATGAATCAACCTTAGCGTAGGATTACTTGGAAATGTTTACAAGGTGACTAGCTACTCTTCGATATCATTCCGAATGTATGCACATTTCTATCTGATTTGATGAAGATGACTAAGTCTGCATTTCTTTTCACATGCTCATCTCTACTTCAGAGATTTTTGTGTTCTCAACAAATCCAATAACATTTTCACCGTTTGAAGCGCTTGCTCTCGTGTGTTATCTTTTTAATGCAACATCGATCGAATACTCGTTGTGGCGTGTAACTCTGAAGAAGTTTTTCGGTTTCTTCTTGATTTTTCTTTCCATTTTTAGAGAATCGTTTGGAGTAATCCTCTACGAAGCTGATGAAAGCACTGCAAAGATGAACCTGACGTTTCAAATACAGTCCGGTATAATAAAAGATACGATTTCGGTGAATGGACCCGAAATCTCGTTGAAAGATCTGCGACAAGAAGCGATACACTTCATTAAGAAATCCGTGAGTAGCTCAGTCTCAATCTCCTCACCATCCAGTTGTTTACGGCCTTTTTCTCAATTAAACACCACCAATTTGTAACTCTAGCCACACTGATTCTAACTAGTAATTATCACCAAAATATCCAGCTGAGATCGCGGCAACTCATCTGATGAGAAGCTATGAAATATATGCTTTCTATCATGTGCCAAAAAATTTTCCATGGTCATTTGTATTGGCTAAGGCGATTACTGCTGAATGCATCCTCAATTTCTCTCATCAAAAATGATCACTTCACTTGATCAGTCACATTCTATATGCTTTGATAATGTCGGGAACAGAAGTGCGGATTTGACAATTTTATGAAATTAAATGTATTGAAATGGCAAATTGTTTATTAAGGTTCAAAAATGTCCTTTTCTGATACAGAACATAACGGATTTGAATTGAGAGTGTTCACAAAGAATTGTTGACGAATCAATTGCCTGAATGATTCCTCGATTATTTTTTTTTNTTGATAAATTGCTGACTCAGACTGATGAAGGGTTCCGTTTAAAAAATTCACAAAGAAAGACAGAATTGGTTCCGAGGAAAACATTTTCGTGTGATTCAGACTTGGCTATCAGATTGCATAGAAGGGATCCATTCGTGGGATATGCGTAAGTCGCAATTGGGAAATATTGGTCGTTTCACGCTTAAGCTAGGATTCTCTTTTGCGGGTGTTATTTGAAAGTCGATCGATTTTGTTGAGTTTACTCAATAGTCGGAATTTACTTTGTGTTCATTCGCAGTTACTTTGTTCTTTTTGCCAGACTTACAAAGTTTTGTGTTCTACGTTGTCCGAGGTGAAGAAATTGCAGAATTGCAGAATCTCGTGAAAGATATTTCACGAAGCGCTATGGGGAGAGACCATTAGTCACTGAACAGATTATGCTAACCTTTTAGGTGCATCATTACTTTTTGTAAGTTTTTAGTCGCAAAACAAGAATATCTGATTGTGTTTCTTTCAGTATCCGGATCGTAAATGGGATGACAGTTTGGCTGATCATATACTGTTGTATCGACATGACCATCGATCCATCAATATTCTTCAGCTGATCTCATCCAGTTCAGATGTCAAAGACGGCACGTTAGTGGAAGTTGTGATTAGCTGTGAGTCTTTGCTTGTTTCATTTCACGTTCATCGCGTGTCTGCATTCACAGTACCCGAATCAAATGCACGTTTTCGGTGAAACACCGACAATTCCCAACTGACTTTGCAGGAATATAAAATTGCTTGAAAAAAATAGTCACTTGTACATTTATCCCAACTTTCCATGCTTCTGAATTCAAAAAAGTGGCACCTATTGATATGTGATACGGTTTGTTCGGGGTCACTGCATCGAATTCGGCGTTCAGCTATCTGCCGTTGTACCATTCACCACTGAATGGCTGAAAGTGCATCTGTTAATTTGAACTGAGCCGTTTACTTGATTATAATATCAAATTGTTACGTCCGTTCTTAACACCCCCTGGGAATGTGCATTTCGAAGACTCAGAAGACTTTCAACCCTACAATTTGATCCATCGAGGATTGATTTTTTGCAAACTCGTTGCTGGCATGCTTTAAAGTCACGTTCAAAGTTTTTATTGAGAATTGAACTAAAAATCACAGACAAACTTTTTTATTGAACTGGAATTTTTAGTCGAAAGAAAGAAGTAAGCTGAAAATTCGACGTGAATCTTGTTTAGCGCTTACAATTTTGATCGTCGATGGAGAAAAT